CTCTCCCCCTCTCCCTCTCTCCCTCTCTATCTCTCTCTCTCCCTCTCTCTCCCTCTCTCTCTCCCCCTCTCCCTCTCTCTCTCTCTCTCTCTCTCTCTCTCTCTCTCTCCATCTCCCTCTCTCTCTCTCTGCCATCTGAAGACACAGCAAGACGGCGGTGTTCACGAGACAGGAAGAGAGCTCTCACCAGGACCCGCACGTTAGCACCTTGATCTTGGGCCCCCGGCGCTCAGAACTGTGAGCAGTGTCTGCCGTTGGATCTGCTTCCCGTTGCTATGGCAGCCCCAGCTGACGGGGACAGTCTCTCACCTGCGGCATCTAGAAAACAGGCCCCTCTGTGCCCCACCCCTCGCTGCACGTCCACTGAACAGATATTTGTAAAAGCACCTACTCTGTTCTTGGCACTGGGCTAAGGGCGGCTCCAATAGGGTGTCATCTGGTCAGGCCTCCTGTGACAGGCATTTCAACCTGATTCCTAGGCGACAAGAAGCAGCCACCAGAGCTGGTCTGCGGCAGACCGAACACGCGGGACGTGCAGAAAGGAAGCCAGAGTGATGTGCCAGGCACACAGTGTGGAGGTGGTGTGGGCACAGGCCGAAGCTGAGCTCTCCCGCCTTCACCCCACTTTGGTGGGCAGGGTGGAAGAATGGTTAGGGACACCGGCTGCAGCCAGGCAGCCCGGATTCTAAGCCCAACCATGACACTTACTCATTGTTCAGTTTTGGTTAGGCTCTTGACCGCCCTGTGCCTCTGTTTTCTCATCTGTGAAATGGGGCTGGTCATAGCCGCTACCTCACAGGATTGATGTAAATATTTAAATACACACAGGAGCACCTGGCACGTAGCAGGTGCTGCCCAGGTCAGCCAGCAGCAGCAGCTCGGATTTAGTAATACTATCCCTCTTCAGAATTATTACCCTTGAAAGAAACATCTCTGGTCAAAGTGGAATTTGTGAAGACAATGCGTTTCTTCTCATGCTAAGCAGAAACCTCATCAAGATTCTCTGGAATAAGTAGACTTTTAAAATAATATATTTGAAAAAATCATTTAATCGGGTTAAGTTCTTAATATAAATCCTAATCGTGTGCTCACTGGAGCCATAATGTCTTTTGTTTGGCTATCGCATACCACAGCCAATCTTTAAAACTGTTCCAGAACCATCTCAGACCTCAAAGAAAGGGTTAGCAGGAGTGAAAGGAGAGAGTGTGAGGGGAGGTCAGCTTGTTTCTACGTGACGTGGGCTTAGTGCCCCCAGAGCAGAATCCTGGGGAGACCCAGAGGCTGGGGAGAATTCCTCGGAGAAGGGTCTCTCTTCCTCGTTCTCCAGAGCTTCCCAAGGGGCTGGTTCAGAAGGTGCAGCTACCGTCAGCCCCTTGAGGAATCTTGGAAGAGGCTGAAAGACGAAGCGTTTTAAAACAGATGAAAGAATGAAGAAAGAGTTCACACACACACACACACACACACACACACACACACACACGGAGGGAAGAAAAGGGGGGAGGAATGGAGAGAGAAGGAAAAGGGAGAAAAGCCCCAACATGAGGGCTTAGAAGATGCAAGAAAGGCAGACAGGACTATTTCAGGAATCTCCTTTTTTATAACATGGAGATGAAATTTAGGAGGTTCTCATCAACAGAAAATGGGGTGTGTGCTTGTGGTTCCACTGCCTTCCCTTCTGCTCCCCTTTCCCTTTCTCACCTTCCTCTGGGAGAGAAGTAGGGTCTCCCCTCTCCCCACACTGGTACCCATTCCTGTCTGTGCCATCAGCATCTCTGAGCCTACCTGGATAGAGCGAGAAGATTATTGGGGGAGTGGTGGAGGGACCAGGACCCCTGGACAAAGCCTCATCAGAGCAAAGGGCAGATGGGGGTGCAGCTCAGGTGCTGGTCCCTTCCTAAGTCAAGGTGTGTGCACCCCAAGTCCCCTGCTCTACTTTCCCCAACCAATAAATGCCATCACAAGTCTGCAGATGTTACCATTTTCGTGAATGTTTAGCAATGTCCAAATAATGTTTGCAAAAAAGTGTGAAACACAGTAACAAGGTTAAAAATAGCTAAGCAACTGCAATGCAACCCTTATAAGGGACAATAAAATAATCTGATCAGCAGGAGTCCCACAGATTTAAAAAGTGATACCTTTTACTTTTTAGGGAATACAGTATCATTATAGTTAAGAGTCTGACTAATATGATAAAATGGATTACATTAGTATATAGTTAACCCCTTTCATATAATCTCTTTGGAGCTTTAGAATTTACTTGAATCTTATCTATAATTCTCCTCTTTGACAGATGAAAATAAATGGCACACACACTAAAAATCTTAGATTTCTTTTATTCATAATGATTGCATCACTGTATTTTTTATTGTATCATTGATTTTACTAAAACTTGTTTTTAAAAAAATCCTTCCTTTCCATGACATTTAAAAAATGTGGGTCTGAAGGACCATGTGCTAATACTACCTTGCATATTTATGATGCTTGGCAACATCCAAACATTTTTGTATGCGTGGTCTTCATTCTTCTAACAATCTTTATTTACAGTAGATAAGGCAGCAGAGGATCAAAGAGGCTGACAGCCCAAGGTCACACAGATAGTACATTTTAAAGCTTGATCCAAACTCAGGGCCTCTTCCACCTTGCCCACTGGTGTTCCCATCTAAGACGCTGTACATTGGATTCCTGTGTTCAGTAGGATAGAGCAGGTGATATTTTAAGAGTCAATTTTAAAAGGTGTTCATTCAAAGTTTTTAATATTCTCATGATTTCCATGCACTTAGACTCTTACTCATGTAATCATGTTAAAGAAGTTCAGGTAACCCGTTCAAGGTGGGAAAGAAATGACAGAACAACCCCCTGCTGGGCTTTTCAAAGCAGCTCAATTGTTCAACTTAAATAAGACTTTCGTTTTTAAAACACTGTTATAGAAAATCATACCAAAATTAAGTTCTTCATTCCACTTTCTAAGATTTAGATTCAAAGGGAGAGAAAGAAAATGAGAATAAGAATATATTGATGTTGTAAAGACTGAAAAAAACATCAATGGAGAAGTCGTGTATTTGCCCATTAGCAGCTGTTATTTGTTTCTACCCTAAGTTGGGCAGAGCACCCCAAACTCAGCCCAGTCTTGCTGCCATAAGATCTGTCCTTAGGCCTGAACACACCCTTCTACCCAGTTGGGGGTACTAAGTAACCAGGTCTCCAAAAGATCCAGCTAAATCAGCATTTGTAGTCTTACGTAACATCTGTCTTGGAGAAGGAATTTCATAGAGTAGAATAACTTTATCAAGCTGTGGTACATATATACAATGGAATATTACTCGGCCATAAAAAAAATGATATCTTACCATTTGCAACAACATGGATAGACCTAGAGGGTATTATGCTATGTGAAATAAGTCAGTCAGAGAAAGACAAATGCTATATGATTTCACTTATTTGTGAATCTAAAGGACAATATAAATAAAACAGAAACAGACTCATAGACACAGAATAAACTGGTGTTTGCCAGAGGGTTGGAGGTTTAGAAATTGGGTGAAAAGGTAAAGAGATCACGAAGTACACATTGGTAGTTAAATATAGTCACGGGGATATAAAGTACAGCAGAAGGAATATAGTTGATAATATTGTAATAACTATGTATGTGCCAGGTGGGTACTGGAAATACTGGGGGAAACGCCTTGTAAAGTATGTGATTGTCTAACCACTATGTTGTATACCTGAAACTAATACAAAATAATACTGAATGTAAACTGAATTGAAAAATAAAATACAAATATATATAATAATAAAAGAATAACCTTATCAATGAATTGAAACACATGGACCTCAGACTTCTTTTAATGTGGGTATAGACCCAACCAAAAAAAATGCAGTATATGAGCAATTGAAAATTTGTCTATTTTGATTATAACTGCCTTACGCCCAGTCTCCATCCGCCGGTTGGGAATGATGGCCACAGCCTTGTGCAGCAAATGTGAGAATTAATTGAGGGAAAAGTCCCAGAGGAATAAGTCTGGACTTCAATATATTCTCGAGTTGATAGAATGGATTCATCATAATGGGGAAACCATAACCACTTTCAGTTTGGAGGCCACAGAATATATGTGCACCACATATCAACGTCTTATTCAAACTTGTGTGCCCAGTAAATAGTTGTTGAATGAATGAATGAATGAATGAATATTGCAGAGGAATTTAGAAATTCAGACATGGCCAAATGAACCCAAGTCCTGCTCCAATAACCCAACCAATGCAGTCTTCCTCCCTGCTCTGCGATCTCGAATCATCCAATCATGTCGCATTCCTCTCTGGTTCAGAACGTGAACCTCTGGTCCCGCTGGAGCAGTGCCGAAATAAAACGAGAAATGAAGGAGCAAGAAAACCCTACAGCCTAGCTTTCATTTTTAACCTGATTTTAATTTTTTTGGCTTCTGGTGTTTCTGCTCATTAAACAAGAAAAAAATTAATGATTTCTAATTTTCAAAACACTTTGCATGGTAACTCATTCCAGATGCAGAAAACTTTAAAGGCAAATCACTGGAGGGTATGTGGTGAACAGGGCCTACTTACAAAAAGAGGTCACACAAAAATTAAAAAACATTAAAGAATAAATAGTCCGTGCTGTCCAGGGAGATGAGCTATGCAACCCCAGTAAAAATTGAAACCAAATTGCATCCACTAATCAACATTGCATAACACATTCAGCTCATTTGCATACAATGCAATTATCCTGGTAGGTGCTGAACTCAACACTCCCTGCTGGGTTAGTGTGTCTCCAGGGACACCAGGTGTGGGCCTTCGTTGGCTGTGTTGCTTTATGACCATGACAATAGCGGCAAATAAACAACCATGTACAGCACCATTGAACATTGGAAATAAAAGCAACGAAGACCTGTACCCGGCTAGCATCCAGGCCCCCTCAGATGAACAAGAAACAGTGCGCCATCTCTAGGGCGTTGTATTTGATCCTGTGTTTAGAAAACCACATTGGTTTTACACTATATAAAGAATTCTTCTTCTCCTCCTTCTTTTGCTTCACCCTGAACTGGCAGATGAAGGGGACACTTCGAGATTACCTTCCTTGCACCAAGGTCCCTTTGGCCAGCAAGTGACAAAGGATGGATGCTTGCCTTCAAGATTCTGTTGTTTTTGGAGGCGACTGCCCCTAAAGAGGAGGCTGGCGGTGGCCGGTGGGTCTGCAGATCCCTCGGGAATCTGCTCAGAAAAGATCGCCTGGGTTCAGAGTTGACCACGGGGCACCCTGTGTCAACATTGGTCTCTGCCTCCAGCTTCTCAAAGCTGTTTTCCCGACTGAAGACCTTCCTTCTGGCCCCGGGTTCGAGGTGGGGAGAGCACAGAGGCAGCTGGGCATCCGTGGCTGGGCTGCTGGCCTGGGATGAGCAGCCAGGGCTTCGCCATGAGGTGCCCGAGGCTGGGCTCCCGCTGGGCTCGGGGAGTTCCAGAGAAGCCACCTTGAACCGCCTGCCCCGGCTCCTTCGCCTTCTCACCTCCAGGCTCCTCCTGCTGGGGACGGAGGTCACCCTGGAGCCCGGGGGAAGGGTGTCAGCTCCGGAGGTGCCATTCGGAGAGGAGAGCTCGCCGGTCCTGACACCAGGTCCTGGACTCGATGGGATCTGTCAGGCAAAGAAAAGATGAACAAACATAAGCGATGTTTCCTGGTCGCTAGGAGCGAGAACAGACTGCGTTCTATCCACCCTCTCGCTCCAGGCCATGCCCGGGGCCGGCAAGCTGGGCGGACTGGACAGCAGCGACGAGCACGCTCCTTCAAGGGGCCGAGCTGCCCTGATGGTCTCTGGAGGCTCTTCTGACATCACAGCAACCTTTGTGTCTGATCCACTCGAGTCTTTCTGGAAATGGAAACCGGCGTGGTTATTTCCATATTCAGAAATCATTCAGGGTTGGGATTAGATTGCGGAAGGTGGTGGAGGAATTCCATACTTTTTTTTTTTTTTTTTAACTCATTTGGGCAAATACCAACAAGTACTACTGCTGGATATTTGCTAAGAGTATGTTTACTTTTGCACAAAAGTGTCAAACTACCTTCTAAAGTGACCGCACTATTTCGCATTCCTACCAGCAATGGATGCGAGTTTCGCTTACACCTCACCTTCACCGGCGCTTGGTGTTGATGGTTTATTTTTAGGGTTCACTTTCCAATTTATGTTTCAACTCATGGTAGGAAACATTAACAAATGTTAACTTCCGAGACCCAATTTCCAACAGCTAAACAATAAATGTGTTTGTGATATTCGAAGAAAAGCTACTCAGTTTGCCAGTAGAAAATGGGAAAATCCATACGTTTGTGTCTTGGGGAGTTTACTTAATTCTCTAACAACATGAACAGAAAGAGAAGCCTCGATGACTTGTCCTCTTCCCCTAAGTCGATCTCAGATCAGAACAAAATTGGTCCTGAAGTCACAGCCAGGAAGTGCCTACCTGAGGCCGAACAGGGGACAGCGGGCCCTGAGCCAGCCCGGCGCCTCCCTCCTCTCAACTCTGCTCCCTCGGTCCCTGGCCCGTCCACTGGCTCCGTCACCTTCAAATGCTCCGAAAGGCTCAACTTAAACCTGACATTGTCAGGCCACCACCCACACTTCAGCTCCAGCACTCAGGTCCCCCATTACACCTGCTCCTAAACATCAACACCTCCTCTCTCTCTCCTCACCCCTCTATCGTCACTGCTTTCCACAGTCAACTTGAGTCTGAAGACCACTCCAACCATCTCCTTCCACCTCCAAATTCTCCAGCTGCTCCCTTTCTCACACCATCCCCCAAAACCTCCCAACCCTCGATCGTCTACCTGCCCACGTTTTCTGGATTTGTGCCCGGACAGCTGAAGGCAAGCTCACCAGTGCTCAGACTGGAGCCCCACGAGGTGTGGTTTCCAACTCCGTGTGGGCTGCCTGCCAGTCCTCCTGCCTCGTTAGCCACCTCTCCCCACTCACCGTGACCGTCATTTCCAACCTCGAAACTGTCCTCAAGCAGTGGCACAACCTAGCCCCCTCTCTCATCAGGTGGTCTCACCATCTCGACTACAGAACAACGCTCTCAGTTCCCTACCACTGCAACGTTACCCGTGCTCTCCTCAACAGAAGCGGCCAGTACTGCCTCCTCTGTGCAGTGAATCATCAAATTTTGTCTTCCTGGGGACCCACCCTATCAATTTTTCATTTTCTCCTACTTTATTATTTTGTTTCTTCAACCAATCTCTTTCCCATAGATGATTGATGATAGATAGATAGATAGATAGATAGATAGATAGATAGATGATAGATAGATAGATGATAGATAGATAGATAGATAGATAGATAGATAGATAGATAGATAGATAGATAGATGATAGATAGATGATAGATGATAGATAGATAGATAGATAGATGATAGATAGATAGATAGATAGATAGATGATAGATGATAGATAGATAGATAGATGATAGATAGATAGATAGATAGATGATAGATAGATAGATGATAGATAGATAGATAGATAGATAGATAGATAGATGATAGATGATGATAGATGATAGATAGATAGATAGATAGATAGATGATAGATAGATAGATGATAGATAGATAGATAGATAGATAGATAGATGATAGATGATGATAGATGATGATAGATGATAGATAGATAGATAGATAGATAGATAGATAGATGATAGATAGATGATAGATGATAGATAGATAGATAGATAGATAGATAGATAGATAGAAGATAGATAGATAGATAGATAGATAGATGATAGATAGATAGATAGATAGATAGATAGATAGATAGATAGATAGATATGATAGATAGATGATAGATAGATAGATAGATAGATAGAAGATAGATAGATGATAGACTAGATAGATAGATAGCTAGATAGATAGATGATAGATCGATAGATAAGATAGATAGATCGATAGAAGATAGATAGATGATAGATAGATAGATAGATAGATAGATAGATAGATAGATAGATAGATAGATAGATAGATGATAGATGATAGATAGATAGATAGATGATAGATAGATAGATAGATAGATAGATAGATAGATAGATAGATAGATGATAGATAGATAGATGATGATAGATAGATAGATAGATGATAGAAGATAGATAGATAGATAGATAGATGATAGATGATGATAGATGATAGATAGATAGATAGATAGATAGATAGATAGATGATAGATAGATAGATAGATAGATAGATAGATGATAGATAGATGATAGATAGATAGATAGATAGATAGATAGATAGATAGATAGATGATAAATAGATCCTTGCCAAAAGCAATGAAAGCTGCTTAAGTCTATCTTGAAAAACACATTCCTTCAACCCTCCTCCTGCCACTCAAACTATCTCCTCTCCTTCACAGTCAAACCTCTTTATAAAATTTGTCCACATTCATTTTTCCCACTAACCCTCCCCTGTTTCCCTCCTACCACTCCCCTGAAATTGCTCTGGCCAGGATCACCTACAATCAACCTCCTTACTAATTTTCACTTGCGCTCTGGTAGAATTTTACAAGGCTGACCTTTCTCTTTACATTTGATGACTCCTTCTCCTTAAGCTTCTATGTCAAACCAATCTTCTGGATTTTCTCCTTCCTGTCCATCCACCCCTTCTCGGTGCTCACTGAAGGAGCCTCTTCCCCTGTGAGCTCCTAGTTCTTCAGTGCTACCTTGGGCCCCTTCGCGTCTCTCCACACTCTCCCTCAGCAGACTCACTGACACCCATGCCTTCATTATCATTTAAGTGGCGAAGGCTCCCAAAAACATAGCTGCAGCTCAAATCTGTCTCGCAAGCTTCATACTCATCTACCCAACTGTCTTACTGTCTTCAAGGCCCAGCCTCTCAAATGCAACCTTTCCAAAAGTGAACTCATCTCCCTCCTCACCCTCAGTCTGTCCCACTCACTCTTTGTCTTGTTTTAGGCAATGGCATCGTTAGCCCCTTCTTACCCAAGCAAGGGCGTCATCTTCCCCTCTCTATCCCTGACGTCCCCATTTCCATGGACTCTGCCCCCCAAAGCTCTCTCAGGTCTTCTTTTCTCTCCATGTCCCCTGCCATGAACCCTGAGGCAGGCCGTTACCATCCCTCGTCTGAATTGCTGCACCAACTGTTCTCACCGCCTTCCAGGCCATTCTCCACTCCACCACCAAAAGAGCTTGAAAACAGTTGCGATCGTGTTACCTTCCTGCTTCAGTGGCTTCCTACTTTTCTTGAGATAAAATCTCAGCACGTCGGGGGGGCCTACCACACTCACCACGGTCTGTCCCTTCTTACTCCAGCCTGATCATTCACCACTTCCTCCCTTTCAAGCTCCACTTATCAAAACTGCATTCCTTTCCACTCATTAGACATTGTTCTTTCCTAATGCCAAGGTTTGTGAATATTTTTTCCTTTGTCTGGGATATGTCTCCTCTAACCCTTTCTCTAAAAACCCCTACTTACTGTCAAGGCCAAGCTTACACCTCATTTTCTCTTGGACGCCTTCTTGATATCACTGAATCTGAGTTAGATGCCCCTAAATACTGGCCCTACCATTTATTACTTGTGGGACTTGAAACGGGTGACTTAATCTTCGTATGACTTCGTTTCCTCACCTACAAAAGTAGATAATTATGTATCAATGTCACAGGGTTTCTGAGAGGATTAAGTGATAAAAGTGCCTAGGACATAAGAGTACTAAATGTGAGTTGGTTATTTTCATCTTTTTTTTTTTTTTTATCCTCACTTGAGGACATTTTTCCATTTTTTGTTCAGAGCAGGAGGGAGAGAGAGGAAGAGCGAGAGAGAGAGAGAGAGAGAAACATCGATGTGAAAGGAACATATCGAGTGGCTGCCACCCACACGACCAACCAGGGCCGGGGACAAACTGCAACCGAGGTACATGCCCTTAGCGGGAACCGAACCCTGGTCTCTCTGTACCGCAGGCGGACGCTCCAACCGCTGAGCGAAACCGGCCAGGGCTCATCTTAAATAATATTATTGCTACCTCTCCTAGCAGCTTGTACTTTCCATCTATACCACACTGTTTTGCCCTTGCCTGCTTACTTCTGATTTTCCTCTAGACTTGGACATCTGGAGGAGAGGGATTGTATATACCTTCATCACTGTATTTGCAGGACTTGGCACAGTGCCTAACACATGATAAACAATCACCAGACATCTTTTGGGTAAATAAATAAAGCTTAATCTCTAAAAATATAAATGTTTTCACATAGGAATGTAGAGTCTTTAAATTAGGCCCCTGATAATTTGAAATCAGGTATCTATAAAGTCCAATTGAGAAAAATTAAAATTGATTTAATCACATGGCTGGCCAATTTTGCAATCGTTTTAGGAAAAGGAAATGTCAACTTCTCTCTTTTTAAGAGAAGAGAAACTCCTTAGACCATATGGCAAAAGTGAGTTCAACATTGTTATTTGTTAAATGTTTTTATTGATTTTTTTTAGAGAGAAAGGAAGGGAAAGAGAGATGGAAACATCAATGTAAAAGAGAAGCATCAATCAGTTGCCTCCTGCACACCCCCTACTGGGGTTTGAACTCTCAACCCAGGCATGTGCCCTGACTGGGAATCGAACTGGGACCTCTCAATCCATAGGATGATGCTCAGTCCACTGAGCCATACTCATCTGGCAACATTATTAATATAGCAATGCAGATGTGTGCAGCTGAAATAAAAAATGTTTAGAAGAAACAATATTGAGTGATTGAGAAAAATCCCTTGAGGGAGAATAAAGCGTCTCCAGACAAAAATAAATAAACTGAACTGCATTTGTAGAAATTCTGATCATTTAGAGACCATCTTTCTAAGAAACACTTGTAAAATGTTACAAATGGAGAGCTAGGTTTTTTCAAGTCTCAGGGAGCAGCACAACTATCTTGATGCACAGGAAGATCTTTTGCCACTCAATTGTCTCTAAACACTTTAGAAACAAGAAAATATATATATATCACTGGAAAATTATTAAGCTATTAAGGGGCAGACTGGCACTATAAAGGGACAATAATATTGTCTCTTATTAAATGTGATTCCAAGAGAGAGCAAAAAAAAGGTTTCTCCTAACGGAGAAAAAAAATGGCATGGAAATATGTTATATAGATAGTAAGCAAACCCCAGTGACAGGCTCACCTCCTTAGAAGTTGAAACCAGTTTCTTTCAATGAACTGATCTTTTGAAAAGATTAATCAAAACCACTGATATGAACCTGCCAGTCTATAGCAGCAGCCTTCGGAGAAAATGCCCACAAGAATCCTTTCAAGGCAACATAAACCAAAGTATTAAGAGAGAGAGTGTAGAAATAGGTGTGTGAGTGTGTGAATGTGAGTATGTGAGTGTGTGTGTGAGTGTGTGTGTGAGTGTGTGTGTGTGTGTTCAGCAGTGTGGAGTACATTAGGGACAGGGATGAAGACCGGAAAGGAAATGAGTGATACAAAGAGAGAGCGACAGAGTCCGAGTGAGTACAGCCGAGAGACTCGGAAATGAGAAAGAAGACTTCAGGAATGCTCTAGAAGAAGCAAATGAATGACTAACTTCATGGAACATAAAGATGCACTTAACTACATGTCTGTTGATAAAATGAAGAGAAACAGACGCTTGTTTACATCTAACTAGCTTCTGGATTCTATACCTTTTCTGAAGAGATAAGCTCATTTCCTGAGAGCAAGCGGTCAGTCAACAATGTTTCAGAAGCAGCTGTCGGTCCACAGAGTCTGAACTTTCTTATCTGTCAGATGAGGGGATTTGACTAGATCAGCGGCGACTCTCAACGTCACTACACGTTACATATTAGAATCATCAAGGAGCTTTTTAAAAAGTGCTCAGGCCTGGGCACCCCCAGAGATGCCCATCTGACTGGCGAGGGCATTTTTAAAAGCTCTCCAGTGATGCTGATGAGTCTGCGGAGAAGGCACACAGTAAATCATCTCCTGGTCCCACCCCGAATGTCAAATCGAACCATGCCACGTGCGCCTACACCATCAGAGAGGAAACAGGAGTACCTGAAGCAGGATCTTGTTGCCATCGTAGTCCTGCGTTTGCCACCTGCTGCGGCTGATGGGGACGCACGGATGGGGTAGGAGAGGCACCAGCTGGCCAATCTCCTGAACCTTGAACTGCAGCACCGAAGACTCTTTGGGGTCCACCGACATGCCGAGGGGCAGCTGCTTCAAGGAGAGCTGCAGGGTGAAGTTCTCAGTGGCATAGAGCACGAACACACAGAAGTTGCTCTTCTGCGAGGTGGCTTCTCTCTGCAGGATCATCTCGTACAGGCTGATGGCGTCTTCGTAGTTATCGAAGGTGCAGTAGAGCATCACTCTCAGGATCTCGGTGCCCCAGTGCACCTGCCTCACGCCCCAGACGGGCATGTGACTGTCCAGACTGTAGAAGTCCTGACCCGCAAGCACGTGGGGACACGGGCTTCCCTGCACGCCCAGGGCAGGATGGCACTGCCAGGGCCACTGCCGCAGGGAGTCAAGGACTCGCAACAGCCGCTCCTGTCCGAGGCTTTCGTGCAGGAAGAGCAGAACGGACATCCCTGGGAACCGGGACCGCTTGGGGTGCCACTTGTCATAGTTTCTCACTGGACTGACCCGCTCTGTCACCATAAAGAGACGGACCTCAGGGCAAATGTCAACCAGGAGCTGGTCCAGAGCTTGTTGCAGAAGGGCACCGTGCCCAGAGTTGGCAAGGAGGTGGACAGTCATGGCCAGAGGCTCTTGGGTCTTGTCCATGCTGGATTGCTTGAGGGTGACACCGTGGGGGGGGTGTCCCGGCTTCGGAAGTGAAGGGAGAAGGCTGCAGCCCACCGGGACTCGTCCAGCTACCTCAGAGCAAAGCTCTTACCGCGGTCCTGGCTGCTGGTGCTCCCACGGTGAGACAATCTGCACAAATCCCGGCACGACAGCCGCCTCCACGCCACACAGCAGCCGTGGGTGATGTCATGCAGCCCTTGCATAATGGAGCTGCCTGTGTCTGGCCTTCTCAGGCACTCCCCAGGGTTTCTGTTTGACCTAAAAACCTGTAATCCGGAGAAACACCCGACCGGGCGGTGCTTGCAGACACCCGGGGAAGGAAGTGGCCGGCAGAAAGGAACCTAAATCCCTCTGTTGGGCTGATAGCAATCTGTGTGGTTGAAAAGACATCCATTTTATGGAGCCACAGGGGCTCTGATTTCCTCCCCGCAGCTATCTCTCGTGCTCACAGTAGCCTGCCAGGCCACCCGAACACAATGACCGCGTCCAAACAATTCTGAAACTTGGCCCCCTGCCAGAGTTTTTTCCCTTTGTTTTTTTCTTTTTGTTTGTTTTTTTGTTTTCGAACAATTGATGCTAGGGCATGGAAGACAAGATGTTTCATCTAAATAAGGCTAACTATTCACCGAAAGTGATTGGCACTACTGCAATGTCTGAGCGAAACTTAGTCTCCCTCTAGTCATGCCAATTCTTTAGGAAGAAGGAGCTTGCCAATGTCTCTAATAATAATATTTTATATCTATTATGGATCGACTAAGCACCAGTCACAAACTGTTTTAAAACTACATACATTGATTTAACCCTCCGGCAAACCTATGAAGAAGAGACCATTATGCCCACATTACAGGTGAAGAAATCGAGGCACAGAAAAGTTAAGTAACTTGCCTGAGGTCTCACAACTAAAAATTGAAAGAGGGAGGATTTGAACCTCGGAACTGAGGGGTGGGTCCCTTTGTGACCGAGAGAGGAGCACCTCTCTGGAAGCTGGAAGTCCTGGCCTGGATTTTTTTCCTAAGGACAAGGACAGGAAACCAAAGCCAGCTCTAGCTGAGGACAGTCAGAGCCCAGATACTCTGTGTGCTGTTGAATCTTAAAATGAATGATCTTCCACAAGAACACCCAAGATTTAAATATAACAGCCACTCTACTGTTCTCTAAATTTCCATTTGGAAATAATTTCCTACTCTGATAGCTGTTCTCTAGAAAGGTATGGACGAGCACACTTTTCTGAACATAATTTTTTAATTAAGCAATTTATTGCCCTGGCCAGTTTGGCTCAGCGGTTAGAGCGTCGGCCTGCAGACCAATGAGTCGCAGGTTCGATTCTGGTCAAGGGCAAGTACCTTGGTTACGGTTTTTTCCGGACTTGATTGACCTCATGCGGGAGGCAACTAGTCAATGTGTATTTCTCACGTCAATGTTTCTCTCTCTCTCTGTCTCTTCCTCTCTCTCCCTCCCACTCTATGTGAACAAAAATGGAAAAATATTCTCGGGTGAAGATTAAAGAAAAAAAAGAAGAAGCAATTTATTAACGCTTGTAATGGAACACATTGAAACAATTTTTCCTAAATTAAAAAGCACTTCTGTGATGAATAATATAACCTTTTATTTTATTTATGTAAATTCCTTTAATAGTATAATACTAAACTTAACATCAAATGTTATCCATAGAAAGGAATTATTTCCATTCAGATTTTCTTTCTAAAACTAATCTGCACTTCTAATCGTTTGTTTTGGAAGCCCTATGCTTTTGCATTGGAAAATCATTAGAGGTTTTTGCTACAGCATTATAGTCCCCAAGCTTTTTAAGAAACACTTCATGTTGCGGATTGTATGGGAAGGCAACAGCTTCCTCACGCGCTCTGGGGTGACCCCCTCTCTGCCCTGTCCCTGCACTCACGGAGCGGCCGGCTCAGGCACTGTCACCCTGAGACACGGCTTCCGAAACAGCCATCACAGTTCTGGGAACAACGAAGATTCGAGGGGAAAAGCTGTGCCCGGGCCCTTTCTGCAGGGCACGTGCCTAAGCCCTTGTACAGGAACAGCCGTTGCTTCTGGATGCTGTTCTGTCTTCCATCCGGTGCGAAAACACGCTTTTCCTCACGAGGTTGTCGTTTCTGTCAGGATTAAAGAGATTTCCTTAATCCAAGGGCAGGCAAAGTGCCAAGAAATGGGTAGGGGGCAGGGGGCAGGGGGGCAGGGGGTACCCCCAGTCCCATTTCTGAAGGGCGGACTCTGCTATTACTTCTCCAGGAACAACCTGAAACATTGACCCCCCCAGAGTAGCTGCTCCAGCCCCTCCCCCTCCACCCACCACAAGCCCAGATTCTCAGCTGTGGTTCGGGGACCCTCTGGCTCTGAAAGCCGCCTGTGTGGGAGACACGAAAATCCGACGGCAGGTCATCAGCGCTGACTCCCGTGCCCGGTCAGCTGACGCTCAATCCCCTACCTTATTTTTCCTAAACTCAGCTAGGATGCCCGGGTATCTGTGAGTCACCCTCCTGGATGGCAGGTGGTTGGTCACCTCCTCCAGCCAAGTGGAGGAGCTGGGGACCGGCGGCATAGGAAAGCTAAGGGACAGGCTAGTCGGGAGGGTTTGCTGGGCCCGTGGACATCCGCAGGGGCTTGTCCCTGCTGCAGTCCTCACATACAATGGCATGTCTTAGAACCCTGGGGTCCCACCACCACCCAAGACAACTTCCAGAGTTTCTTTCTCACTTTATAAAATGTGTCCATTTGTCCCACGTGTGGAGAGCCAGGCACTGTGTCTGGAGCAGAGAATAGATAATCACCAAGCCCCACTTTAGAGGAGCATCGGAAATGATGTCATCAGTGCTGTGATAAAGGTCACTGCAGAATGCCATGAAGGTCCCTAGGAGGAGCCACTGACCTAGGTGAGAGGGTCAGGGACGCCCCCAGGAAAAGGAGATGCTACGTGAAGTTCTGAAGTGAGGAGGAAGGAGGCAGCTGGGTGAGGAGTTGGGGTTGGGGAGAGGGAGGGATCCAGGGAAGAACCCTGATGGGCACAAGCCACACCTGGAGAAGAGTGTCTGGTCAGTGACCCACTGGCCCAACTACAAGCTGCTCAAGATGGCAGGAGGGTGGGGACAAGAGGAAGGTGGTAGGAGGCAGGAAAGGCACGCAGGTCTCACAGGTCACCAAGGGTTGGCATTTTCTTTTAATGGGAACAGAACCACAGAAAAGTTGGCATGACAACGGAAGTAATCCATTGAGGAAAACACGGAGCCATGCAGGGAATGTCTGAGGCATTGGACAGCTTGTTAGCTGGTTGGATGTGGGCAGAAAGCTGCAGTGATGGGACCAGGAGACCTCCCAGGAGCCTGGTGAGGTTGTCAGTCACAACCTAGGGAACACCAGGGTAGCTGGGAGTGAGGATGAGGGGTGCAGCTGGGACATGGGGAGAGCAGATGCCCCTGGTTGTCAGACTGGAGATGATCAGTAGCTACTTAGCACAGAGCTTAGAGGGAAGGGTCCGAAAGGAGAACATGGGCTAGGGACTCACTGGGGATGACCCAGGTGGAGACTACATGGTGAGGACAGAAAGGGTAAGAGAATGGGAGTCCGGAGTGCCCAGTCTAAGGGACAAGTGACGTGTGGGCGGCATGCAGGGAGATCAGCGTGGGGACTTGTGTGTCGGGTTGCGAGGATTTGGGGAAGTGGCGCTGGGCTGCACAGACATCTTCACGCAGTTTCAGAGCAAGTCCGGCTTCTGTTTCCTTGTTTCCAAAGCAATTTCATCTCTACGTCCTGATACTCAGTTGCTCACCAGGGGCTAGACATGCTAGAACTAAGGCCATAATCAGGAAAGGGTCATTTCAAACTTGTTGTCAACCCCTGACAGCAGCCTACAACCCTGTACCTGCAGAGTAGGCACTAGGTAGACCTGTAGTGAAGAAGGAAGCTTAGCATCTCCTCTGGGATAAGAATCCCAGGAGGCTAAGGGACTTTCCCAAAGTTGCTGAGCTGGTTAGTGGCGGAACCTGGTTTCTGGTCTTAAAGCACACTCTGGTTTTCCCACCACTCCTAAGAGAAGCAAGGCTCAGCAGCTCTGTCTGCGCAGGGGCAGCCATTCGAGCTCAGGGTGCACAGCTAGCACATGACACAGAGACAGGAAGATGGAGGCGTGGGCATTACACATGTTATTCATGTTCCATGCCCTAGACAGCTCCGGTGAACATGTTCCCCATCATGGGCACTCCTGCCCCACTGTCATTCCTGCCTCAGCCCTCCTCCCAGCACACACACACACACACACACACACACACACACGCATCTGTATCCTTGAGTCACAGCTCCGATCCTCAGGGGGGTTCTAGCAGCCGCAGGCAAACAATGGAAGTCCTCTCTGGGCTCCTCCCAGGGCAGAGGATGGAGGGGGGACGTAGCCCCAGCAAGCTCCTCCTCCATGCTGCTGTGGCTCTTAGCTGAAAGCTTCTCCCCTGGCCCCCCAGAGGATACCCCTGCCCAACCCAACACAATGCTATCGGGTTCCTATTAAATGGCCATCTGTTTCCCCCTTTCCAGGACAATGCACTCCAGTAACAGCCTGTGAGCTGATACCCTGCATTTTCACAGGTGCAACAAAAAAAGGCATGTTTCCTCCCGGTCTTTGTTGTGATCTTCTGTTGTGACATCGTTTCCCAGGCTCTGACCAGCTACAGTTCTCTGCTGCACCACTCAGGAATGGGGAGAGGAGACAGGAGGAGAGCTGACAAGCTGTGAGCCACGGACCTGGGCTCTGCTTCCCACCCAGACAGGACCTGAGATCCCTTATCCCTCGGTTTAGTTCCATCATCTTCACTGGAGATACAAGTAGCAGTGGTAATAACTGACCTGACTCTCTCCATGGGTCAACTGACCTGACTCTCAAGTGCTCAAGGGCCTTCCAAGCTCTCAAGTGCTCAATTAGCAAAATCATCTCAACATGAAAAATTTTATATCTAATATATTTTTTTAAT